GACCCACTGGCACTCTTGGCAATTTGGTGCGGCAATGCTGACGAGTTTACACTTTACACGCACGATCCAAGTACTACTTTTGATGGAGTGCTCACCAGACCGAGACGAGACTGTAGTCCCACCTGGATATGAGTAACATTTGGGAGAGAAGACTAAACAAAAATCAGTGGCATCATGAAACCTACTCATATCATTGTATGATAATGCATCTATCAGTCCTCCATAACCTTATGCTACCGAAGGTGACTACAGTTCCTGGCAGATTAACGTTTGCTTCACTGTTATGACTTTTATTTCGTGTGAAATCGCCTTATGAAATGATTTCACCAGAGGATTACAACACTCAGTTTGACTAACTCCAGGAGACATTCTCCATCGTTTCGGGTAAAACGTGGCTGAGCTTAAGTTCACCATATGACAGCCATCTTCAGAGCTAGAAAGCATTTTTGCAAACCATCAAGTTAATACTAAATTAAAATTACTCTGAAATAAGTGGTTAAATCAAACGATTGTAGAAAAACTGGAATCAACCAGGGTCTTCTCTTGCAAGAGACCCATGAATCTCTCGATCAGGCACTTACACACGAAGTAAGTCAAAATAACACCGTTTATCTCAAGAGATTCATCGAAACACACTTACTTTTCGTTTATGCAAGTTTGCTTTACCAACGTCAGTTGCTCTATAAATAAGAAATGAGAGGGAAAAAAAGAGAGATTCACTGAGATTGCAAGGGCTTCTACTCATTACTTTGTGGGTTCAGATATCAGTCCTCAAATCCTCTTAAGCAGCCCAAACCAACTCACATAATGTAGTGTAGAGTTATTTAACGCAAATATGTGGTGGCGAGTACGACTCATGATATGCACCGCGTTATTTTGCAGCTATTACTGAATAATTTTTCTTGCCCTTTCCAGAACGTGAATCCTTGCTTATAACACTTTGTGTCGCCGTTCGCCATATTTTAAAAACTGGAATTTAACCTAATTTGAGCATTCACTTTCCGTAATACGTAAGAAGTAGGACTTTAGTAGTAAATTCGATTCTGGCGAGTTTGGTAAGGATAATATGTCAGTTCGCCAAGAGTGATTTGAGGAGACTTGTACATTAATTCGTAGGAAAATTAGTACAATTGCCAAATTGCAGAGTAAACTACAAATAAGCTACCAAGTCACAGTACAATACTGTAACTCATCATGCCAGAGGACGAATGACTATGTAGGTTCAACAAGTTCTCCCTGCCCCTCAGACCAATTTGCGAAACGAAGACAAACCAAAATGGCATTTCGTCAGAAGTGGTTTAACCTGGTTTTCTCAACTTGCCATATTGTCAGGGCGGCCTAGATGAATGCTCCTTGTCCGAAGTACTCTGTCAGTAGTTATGATAAGCTACAGCGTCAGGCCATGGATTCAGCATATTGTCAGATATTTCACAACCCTAAAGCAATCATCCTTCAGCTTCCAGTGAGACCAATTTGCGAATTCCTTCCACTCGCCTCTTCAAACGAAATAAAGGGTATACCAATATAAATCTATTCAGGGAGTCTTCTTAACCCAGCCCTTGCTCTTATCAGCAAAATGTCTGAATCAACTGATTGACTTGAAGTTTGACTAGCTTTTGCCTCCAGCACAACTTTTAGACTAGTACAGGGTTTCACAAATCCCGTTTGGGATGCTAATGAGGCCCCCGGGCGAGGTCAAAGACCCCCTCCTGTCATGAAGAAAAAGGCGGATGGGAGGCAGGACAAGCTATTTCCTTATTAAATCTTATGGCGGAACTGTAGATTGAGCAAATTTGTATCTGCCATTGGAATCAAAACCTTTCCCTATATTCGATGAGAGTTTGCAAAGTGATTATCATTATTTCTTTAATAAGAATTGTATTCACCCTAAGCTATTAAAGATAGTCAAGGGAATGATATTTGAAGTTCCACAATGCACTTATTCACGAACTAGTGGTAGCCTCGAAATATACTCTGATCAAATATATCCAGGATTCTGGAGCATGCTGTGACTTGGCCACTATGTGATGGACATCTACACAGCAGGAAATTATACCTTGTGATGATTTCAATCTACAAAAAGACAGACTTCACCTTGACAAAATCTAGTATCATGGCACTATCTTTGGCATGATGCGGAGAATCTGTCTTCACGTGTTCCTGAACTTGGTTGTTAGTGACTCTGTTCACGATGAATAGAAAATGAGTCGTGGTTTTTACATTTACTTTTCTCTGGAGCACAACATACACCTCGGCTGTATCCTGACCTGCAGGATCAAGGCTAAAGCCCCGCTGGAGGTGCTAGTATGACAATGTGGCGAGGCTGAATTGGCGCCCAAGCACAGTATTTTGGGGTGCATGGCAAGATGAGCTATTATGCTACAAATGAGACTTTTCTTCGATCCATCTAAAAGCAAAGCCGCTCCATTGAAGTCCTAAAACTAGTCGAAACTGGTACCTCTTGCCAGCAAGCAGGCTACTGAAAGCTGCGAACGAAAAGCGTAAGCAAAAGCAAAGTTTTTGACACTATATGAGGCCCCAAATAAAATGATTAAGATTACTCAGTCGCTTTGACCATCCGTGTCATAGTTCTATTCGCTTTAAAACGTGAAATATAAGCTTACGCCAAAGTGCACACTAGGCATCGACTTAATCTCATGGCCCTCACCAGTTCCAGGATAGTAGCGGTCAAGCCTAAACACATTTACATACTCTCACAGATACACATGCGTAAATACATGTTTACGAGCATAAAAATGATGTGTTTCTGACTATCTTACAACATGGCTGTGTTTGTACTTTTGGAGCATTCTTGTTAGCAGAAGTCTGTCTGGAAAATTTTTGAGCGCGAGGCTGAGCTAGAAATGATGTTGTGACCTGGCAACGTCTGTCACATGGCTTAAGAAATGTAAGCATTCTTTCTTCAAGGTTGTTGAGGCTTACCGTGAGTGGCCTTCATCGCTGACCGAGGCTATACTCTGATTGAGCTCAGATGAGACACGTCAAATTAAACTCACCGATAGATCGTAGACCTCCCAGCTAAGCCTACGGCCTGACTGGGTGGTGGGGAACGTGTGGAGCAGAGGGCGCATTTCGTGAGGCCTGGGGCTGAAAGTGTGAAACTTCCCAACACAAAACGATGCGGAAAGGGGTGGAAGAAAAAATCACCCACACCGAGGATTCCGCACACAATTTCAACTCCATTCTCTTCAGGCCTCAGGGGCGTTAGGGTAAGAGAGGCCGAAGCGGCGCTCAATATTAAAAGAACAACTCGTTTACGATGTATAATCCTGAGCTGACTTTCGTATCGTGTAAAAGGATATGATAAAAGTTTTCATGTAAGCCGACTTCTGCTGTTCTTTTATTGCCCTCGGAAGTTCCGGCTGACGCAGTCTTATGGGAACCCTTGTTATCATGTGCTGTACTTTTCTCTGTCATTCCGATTGGCATGCTTGGTACTTTTCTGAGGTGGGAAGTAAAGGTGAAAGAGCAACCAGAATACCGGATTGTGGAGATCTATTTCAGGAGGGCGGAGTACAAGAGGCTGCCTTTGCTGACGTGCTGAGCAGAGGAGTGGCTACACAAGCCCAGTTTGGGCCGTTGAAGATTGTGCTGCACGGTCTATGCCAAGTCACTCGATAGTCATGCAGTTTAGCTACCTGCCTCCTTAAAAACGGAGCCATCCGCTTTGTCGCTTTGACGAGTTGTGACTCGGTGCCTGTCACTGAGTCTGCCGGAGGATCGTCTGGGCATGCGACAATTATTGCATTTGAGTAGACTGTCGCGACTACCAGTAAATCAGTAATATGAAATGAATTCACCCTATTTCGTGTAAAGCGATCAAGGACTGGTAGTAGAAATTTACCACAACGACATGAGTAGAGCTGACGCTTCCATTGAATTGCACATTGCCTAGCTTTCCAAAAAGTTGTTCTCGAAACTCTACAAAAAATAGCAAAATAAGTAACGTAGTCGATTGTTATGACAAATATACGTTTGCTTCATCGACAATCCCACCCAAGAATGAGATATGAAAAACCCTATCCTACCTTGAAGTTCACATATGCTCTGCGAACCAAGGACAATCGTGGCAATGTGGACGAGTGGTTGACGTGTCAAGCTCCCATTCTGCACCGTCGCCATTCGACACCCGCTGAGGGTGTTGATAAGACCGAGGCGAGGTCGAAACTGCAGTCCACTGGTGCCTGGATGAAAACAACTGTTGGGCAAGCAAGGCCATGTGAAGTTGAATGGAAACGTCAGCTCTACTCACATAATTCTGGGAAAACACTACTACCAGTTCTTCATGACTTTAAACGAAATTAGGTAAATACATCTCATATAATTATATGATTTTGAAAATGGAATGAACAAGCTACCATGAATTATGTCCTAGCTTCCTGGAAATCATAAAATATCAATACTGAGAACAACTTTTGGGAGAGCAGGGCTCTGTGAAATTGAATGTAAACCTCAGCTCAACTCATATTTTTGTGTTGCAAAATTCTTCTTCTGCCAGTCCTTCATGACCTTAAACGAATTTGGGTGAATACATCTTATATACTTATATGATTTTGAAAATGGAATGAACAAGCTACCATGAATTATGTCCTAGCTTTCTGGAAATCATAAAATATCAATGCTGAGAACAACTTTTGGGAAAGCAGGGCTCTTTGAAATTGAATGTAAACCTCAGCTCAACCCATATTTTT